GACCTTTGTCAATGTTTTAATAGCAGGAAACACAAAAGTTACAGCACAAGATGAACTTGGGTTGAAATTTTTATTCTTGGCTTTCTCAAGAGAAACTGGAAAAGCAAGCATTGTATAGTAAATTGCTTTCCAGCTAGAACTCCCATTAAAGAATACTCATTCTTAGTGATTTTATTTATTTGTGGCATAGCCAAAATGGACCCCTCTTTTCAAAATACCCATGGGATGATGCATACAGTGAGAGAGAAGAGAGGCTTGTACCTGAGCAAGCTGTTCCTTCAAGCAGAGCAGCAGCCCATGCAGAAGTTAGGTTACAACCTGCCCCTGAGGGCACCTCATTTGCCAGGTACTCAGGGGCACTGTTGAAGTCCAAGTTTAGCCACAAATGGTGGACTTTGAGGGTGCTTTTTCACAAAAAAAAAAAAAAGGTGTGATTCCTGCTCCGTGCTCTGCACAGACCTATGCATCCCCCAGGCGCGCTGCTGCACCTCCTCATACATCCCATGTGGCAAAAGGGCTCAGCAACCCTTCCCTTATGCCACTTTCCCCTGGCTCGGCTGTGGTCCCCAGATTAGATAGGAGATTCCACTGCATCTGAAACAAGCGCTTCACCTTCCCAATGAGGCTACTGGGATGCCCTGCAGGCTGGAGGATGGTAGCTTTGCTGCTGACAACAGATCACACTCTTCCACTGGGTTCAAATGAAGAGCCATCATGCAGGAGCCGGAGAAGCTCTACAGCCCAGCACGCTGCACACCCAGGAGGCCAGGCCTCTGCTCTACCACGTCACTGCAGTCATCTCAGAGGGTATGGTGGGGTTGCTCACAGAGCTCTTAGGAAGAGGTAGAAGCCAGCATCTGGTGTGGGCTGGCCTCTGCTCAGATGCTGGCTCATTTTCAGCTGTGCACATAAGCGTGTCAGCAGGAAGAAAGTTCTGCAAAGTTAACTTTTAAAACCATGTCTTTTTAACTATCAAAATAACCGCACATGAGATCAGTGAAAGTGACTGAGAGAGGGGACTGAAGCATTCACTGTGGCCCTGAACCCTTCCACACTAGACTGATAAAACAGGTTTAGGCTATTCATTGCTTTGATAAACTAGGATGGTCTTCTGCTTCGACATAAATTCATTGCTGAAAACACAAGCCCTGGTCACTGTATGGCTGTGGGCTGGAGGAAAAAAGTCCAGGAAGCACAGCAGCAGGGTGGTGAGGAGTTGTTGTGAGAGTGTGGAACAGCAGAGCGGTAGCTGCTCTCTCAGAAAAGCCTTTCAACCTGCCTAGGGCTCCCTGCTGCAGCACAGCACCGGTTCTCACTGCTGAATATACCCAACAAGGCCCCCCAGCGTGCTGCTCACCACCATGTACCACCGGCAGCATTTTTGAGGCAGCAGTTGGTGGTAGGTGAGGGGAGAGCAAAAGCTGTAATGCATACTGACTGAAAAAGAGAAGTCTCTCCGCATTTCCTTCCCTCTCACATTCTCGAAAATACAACCCTCTGGTTTTGTCAGCTCTGCCACCTTGGCTCTGCCCCCTCGCTGGACTGACCGGACAGGGACACAGAGTGCTGACAAGGCTGTCAGCATGTCTCCCCATTAATCTCCAGTTGCTAGATTGTAATCTTGAGGGGACAGAGCACCTCTTCCACGTGGGCCACCAAGCAAACTCCGATGCTGATGGGACACTCCACACTCTCATCTTTCAAGCTTTATTGTCTGATGCCTTCCAGCGACAGCTCTCTGAAGATTGGTATTACATGATGCTACCCCAAGTGCTCTCAGCTTTACAGGCCTGCCCATCTAATATCTTTTAAATTACTTCAGTCTAATTAGCACACCCATCTGAGAGCTGTCTTTTATCTCTGGGAACATACTGGGCTGCATCGTCACTAGATCTCCCACACTGTGAATTTAAAATGACAGACCTCGGAGGAACAGGAAACTGTGGCACTGAAGAGAATCAGTGGCTATTTCTGAAACAGAAATCCCCCTCCCCTGTAATCCTTCAGAGACTGAGGGGCAGACAATCACTTGTAGCAGTGCTCCCCCTCTTCCACATTTGGCACCGGTGTGTTATAAAGAAATGTGAGAAAACGCAAAAAACTTTAAAGGTGGCAGAGGGCTGCAGATGCTCTGTGCTCCTCTCTGCCTCTCCACTCCCCCCAGATCATGATTAACCGGGCCTCGGGAAACGGAGGCTGCCCAAGAGCAGACAGGTTCTCAGGGTCAAGGAGATGCCCAGGCAGTGCTTTGGTGTCACAGGTGCTTTGGCTGTTGGGCCGAGCCTTCAGCCATGCCCGGCTTTGCAACACGCCTGTGGGGGTTATCCTTCTATGTCCCAACGGGATGCATCGGAGATAAAAGGACAAAAGGTTAGTCCGTGTTCACGATCTCCTGATCACTTCGGAGAGAGCAGGCAACAACAGCAGCCCTTGGAAAACTCCGAAGACAGATTTCTGCCACCTCACGGTTTCTCTCCACTCAGCTTTCATCTGCCTTCGCGGTCCCGAAGGCGCAGCACTACTTCTGAACACAGCCCCGGGCGCGCCGGGCCCGGGATGTCTCTGGTTGCCGCCAGGCTGGGCGGTGGTATTCCTCCTCCTGCGTCCTCCCTTCGGGGGTCCCGACGCGACGTCGCCCACTGCGGAGACCCGCCTGAGCATACCGGCAGCATCCCGGCTTCGTGGGGATAACGGGGGGCTTTTTCTGGGCGTCCGTGGGGAGCAGGTTTTTCATGACCAGCCTTAAATCACACCTCGGTGTCGGGGTAGGAGTGGCAGGACGAGCCCCCACCGCCCCGCGGCAGGACGAGCCCCCACCGCCCCCGGCCCCTGTGCTGCGGGAATGCTGCTGTCCGGAGTACCGCTCCTGAGGAGGAGTGCCAGGCGGGGCCCTGGAAAGTCTTGTCCCCGGCGTTGCACGCAGGGTCAGGCCCCCTTAGCTGCTCGCGGCAACCTTAGCTCTGTTTTCGTTAAGGCGATCGCGGGGATGTCCGATTTACCCCAGGGTCGAGTCCCTGCAGCCAGGGAACGCCCGGGGGTCGGAGCCTTCATAGCCCCCAGGGCAACGGGCGGCCGCCGAGTCGGGGCAGCACCGGCGAAGGAGAGGACCCCGCGGAGCCCACCTGAGTCGGCGCCATGCACGGCCCTGGCACCCTCGTAGAGCTAGGCTGGGCCCCGCAGCAGTCCCTTGACCCTCTCCTCTCTCTCCTCTCTGGCCGGGGACAGCGGGAGCGTCCGCTGCCGAGGCGGGAGCCCCGCGGACTGTTTTTAGCATAATAAAGTGGTTTTTGTTCATTTCTCTGCATGAGGGCGAAGAAGAACTCCCGGCTCCTCTCTGCTCCGGGGCCGGCATGGCCAGGAGAGGCGCGGAGGGGGCAGCTTGCGGAGGGACGGGGGTTTCTGCTCATTCCCCCAGTCTGGGGAGCCGTCCTCTGGTCAAGGAGCAGGGCCGGGCCGTCCCAGGAGGCTGTTCTCACAGCGCTCCGCAATTCGGGCAATGCTGGCGCAAAGCGGGACCCGGCCACCAGCTATTTCTTTGTAAGCAAATATTTGTGTAGAAAAGTTGGTGAAAAAGGAAGCAGAAGGGCGAGAAGCAGGAGCTAGGCTCCCTCCATCAGGGCGGGCGGTATCTCGGTGGGCCAAAGAGCTGTCCGGGGCCGCCGGGCCGCCGGTCCTCAGATGCGAAGGAGCTCGAAGAGGAGGGATGGACAGAAAGGAAAAGGAAGGTTTTAAAAACAGAGTCTCGCCCATGTCAGCTCTCGAGGATCCCGGGGAGAGGCGGCCGGGAGCTCCGTTACAGGCCCCACGCCGCCAAATCCGGCTCCTCCCGGGATGGTCTGCTCCCATACACCTTTCCTGTCCGCAGCCGCTGTCTCCCGCTCAAGCTGCCGCCGCTTGGCCCTGCCGCGGCCACGCCGGGACGGGACAGAACCCACCCGCGTCCTCCTTGTGTGCGCGGGATGCGTGGGAGAGGGGCGGGGCGGTGGCTTGGAAGGCCGCGGGTGCGATGTGCACCGGAGGGCGAGGGGCGCAGCGCGGGCAGGGAGCCGCGGGCAGGGTCTCCCGCCGGTCCCGATTCACGGGAGTCGCCACGGGGCCGGTTTGTTTTGTCCTTTGGGAAGGGGAGCGCCGTTAGTCTTTTCCTCGAGTGCTTTGCTGAGAAACAAATCTGGAAGCGATCGAGGCCTCGTGAATTCTTCCCTTTCCCTCTCCCCGCCCTCACCGGAGCCTCCGAGGTCCGCAGGACGCTGCCGTGGGTCCGCTGCGGGGCGGTACCGGCTGGAGGCCTCTGCACAAAAGGGAGGTACAGGGGGAGCCCTTAGCGGACGCCGCCAGCCCCTGCTCCTGGGTCGGGAAAGAGCCGCTGCGGCCCGTTAACACCCCCGTTGGGCCGCTGGCCCAGGCTGTTGGGCGCTCCTGCCCGAGGGCTGTCCTCAGGCGGGGGGCTGCTCTCTGCAGCCCCCACCCCCGTCACTGGTGGCCAAGTCACTGTCCCGCCCAGGCGGGGAGCGCGGCCTCGGGGCTGCGGCGTCACCCCAGCCCGGGAAGAGGAAGTCGGTTCCGCTGAAAAGTTGGTGACGGGCTGTGGCTGGCGGGTCAGAGCGGACAAGTGCCGCTGCCTCAGCAGGTGCTATCGCTGCCGGTGCCGCCGCTCCGCAGCAGCCGGCGGAGAGCTCGGGGGGCGGCTGGCTGCGAGCAAACTTCGGTTCCTGCTACAACAAATGTCAGAGTTTTCTTGAATTTGGGCTGCGTCTGGGGACATCTTGTGATGTTTTAGAGAACAGGACATGATCTCACATGGCGATGAGCTCTTCAGTTTCTTAATCATTTCACGGTTCCTTCAGAGGCTGTTTTCCACCTAAAACGTTTAGTTTCAGCTCAGTGATCAGCTGCAAAAGCTCGGCGGGGAGCGGAAGAGTTGAATTACTCCAACCTGCGAGAGACCCCCCCCCCCAAAAAAAAAAAAAAGGAAAAGGAGGAAAAAGAAAAAGGAGAAAAAAGAGAAAATAAAGAAGGAGAAGAAAAAAGAGCAAATAAAGAAGAAAAATAGAAGAAAAAAGGAAAGGAAAAGAAAAGAAAACTAGAAGAAAAACCAAAACAAGAGAAGAGAAGGGGTAAAAGGCGAAAGGAAGACAATAGTAACACGACGTTGAAACTTTTCTCCCTGTCCGCCTCCCGAGTCGAGATGAATTTGGAGAAAACCTACGCGACCTCCCGGGCCGGCCGCACAGGTGGGATTCGGGGGCTTCAGGGGCTCCGCGACACGGGCAACGCCGGCACCCGCCGCGGCCCGTCACGCGTGAGCTGCGCCGCGGGACCCGGTCGGGTGCGGCGGGGCCAGGTCCGGGGCGAGCGGCGGGGTCGGTTCCCTGTGGGGAGCTGCCGAGATACCCCCCGATCCCCCGCGGGACCTCTCTGTGTCCGCAGGGCACCGGGACTGGGGAGCGGCCGCGGAGAGCCCCATTCCGGTGGACCCGCGAGGAGCGCGGCTGTGGCGTGCCAGCGAGGCCGGCGCTGGGCGCCGTGGCGGGCTGGCGGCTCAGTGGCGAAATGCGATTTCTAAACGATCGATGGAGCCTTTTATTAGTTAAATCACCTGAATAATCGTTTAATCGATAAAGCATTTTATGCTTACGCAGCCTACGCCCCTTGCGGCTGGGCGGCCGGTAGGGATGCCCGCCGGGGCAGCTTCGGAGCTCTGCCCGGGTAGGGCAGCGCGGCTCCCTGAGGACTCTCCCGCCGCTGGCCGCGGGCACCGCCGGTGCCGCCGCATCACTCCGCCGTACCCCACGAGGGAGGAAGGGGCAGAAGGAAGGATGAGGGCAGGGTCGAAGGTCAACAGGGAGCGGTGTCTACCCTGCCTGTCCACGCTTGCCCTTCCCTCAACTGCTGAGGCCGGCGCGTCCCCTCCTGTGCTTGCATCCCCACCAACCTCGGGGTTACTCCCACCGGACCAAGGTCCGAGCGGCTCCGGAGGGCGAGCGGCCGGACAGTCCCTTGCTGAGCTGCGGGACTACAGGGGAACCCCCTCTGGCCAACTCCGGCCCCACTCTCCGCACCCCCGGAATGGCCGCATTCCCCTGGCCCGGCCCCACGGTGGCTGCTCTACCGCACCGGCGGGAGTTTCGCCTTCAACGAAAATTCGCTGTGCGCTCGCCAACCCCGCGCCGCCGCTGGCGGCTGCAGCTCCCGCCATTCCCCGGCCGCCGATGGGGGGGCCGTTCGGCCCCGAGAGCACGGCGGGGGACTGGCCCGGGGAGGGAGGGCGGAGTTCTCTCTGCGCCCCCTTCCAGCGGCGGTTGCGGACCCATAGCCGGGTGCCGGACGCTCCCGACTGTGCGGCAGCCAGGCGGTATGGACGAGGGCGGGGGCTCGGCTCCGCGGAACTTCGGCGCGGCCCTACGATCACCCGCAGTGGCGCGGATGCGGCCCGCGGAGACCAACCAGGCCTGGAGCTTGGTCTAGGGGCCGTGTCGCCGGGGCCGGGAGCAGTATCTCGGCGGCCGGAATGGGAACCCATCGGCCTCGGACGCGGTGGACCCAGGCTCCTGCGGGCCTTTCCCGGGGCAGCCGCGCCCCACCGCTACCGCGGGCGGGAGCGGCGGGGGAGACCTCGGCCAGCCTCCTTCGAGCCTTCACGCAGAACTCAGGCTCCCTGGCCGCGCCGTCCTGCCGCGGGGGAGACTGGCGGCCCCGGGAACCTCCGTCAGGACGTGGGGTAACCGACGCCCGTCGAGGGTCCCGTGGCGCCGGTTCGCGCCGTGCACCCGTCGGTCGTACCGCGGCTGGGGCGGCCGTCGGAAGTGCCGGGCCACACCTCTCCTCCCTCGGACCCCTGATCAGGATCCCCCACGCACACGGTCTCGCGTGGCTGCGGCCCCGCCCTCGCTGGCCTGCGGCCACGCCCCCCACCTCGATTGGCCCGGTGCCTGCCAATTGGGCTCGGCACCGCCCGGCTGCCGATGCGAGGAGCCGGCAAGTTAACTTTTGCGATTGGCAGTGGCGGTGAATGACGGCCGGGCCCCGCCCGCTGCCGCCCGCCGCTGTCCGCCCGCGCGGTGCTGAAGGGCCGCCCTCCGCAGCTCCTCCGCGGGCAGCGCGCGGCGGGGCCGGAGGCGCGGGCGCGGTCCCGGGGGCGGGGCCTGCGGCAGCACAGAGCTCCGCCCCGCCCCGCGCGCCCCCGCTTGGCCCTCCCCTGTCCCCGCCCCGCCGCCCGCCACAACCCCGCGTCCCGCCGAGGGCCGGCAGCGCGCTAGGCGCAGCGCCCGAGCCAGGCGGAGCCGCGCCGCCCGGGACCCGCTGCCCTCGGCGGCGGCAGGGGGCGGCGGCGGCTGTCCGGCGGGTGGCGGCGGGGGCGATGGGCGCGCAGCGCCGGCCCCCCAGGTAGGACGGCGGCCGCTGACGGGGCGCCCTGATCCCGCGGGGCCGCTGCGAGGCGAGGCGAGGAGAGCCCGGCCCCCGCCCCGCTCCCCGCCCTCTCGCACACCTTCCCCCGCCGCTGCCCTCGCCCACCGCCGCCCCTCCCGGCTCCGCGAGTTGCTGCGAGAGGCTCGGCGGGGGGCGGCACAGCTGGAGCGCGCCGCCGCCTCGGGACCGAACCCTTCCGACGGTCGGACCGACGGACTGACGGGGCGCCCGCAGCCACCCGCCCGCCTCCGCGCAGCCGCCGGCGCAGCCAGCACAAAGAGCCGTCGGGCAAGCACCTCCGGGCTCCGGCCGCCGGATAGAGACGCTTGCCAGCCCCGTGCCGCCCCGGAGTCGGGTGCAGCGGTTCGGCGGTCGCCGTGAGAGCGGCCGGGGTTAGACGCACAGCCCTAGGCTGAGGGTGCTCGCTGCCCCCGACGGAGTGGCTGGACGCTGCGGGCGGCGCGGGGAGCCGCTCTGTCGGCCGGGCCCAGCTCGGAGTGGGACTCGATTATTCTTTTTTTCTCATCCTTTTTGGGTTGAGTGTTTTTTTTGCGTTTTTTTTTTTTTTGGTTGGTTGGGTTTTTGCTTTCTTTTTTTTTTTTTGCTTTCTTTTTTTTTTCCTTGATTTTTTTTTGTTGGTTGGTTTTATTTTTCTTCTCCTCGGCTGTTTCCTGAGCCAACCTCCCCAGCCCCTGGGCCGTGAGCCGGTGGCGAATCGGGACTTACTCGGAGAAGCAGCCCCGCTCGGACCGCCTAGATGGAAATTCACTGTAAGCACGACCCGTTCGCAGCGATGCACAGTAAGTGACCGCCACTCCAACTTCTCCAACACGCCGCGACGGGCCCCGCGGGATCGCGGACAGCGCTGCCGCCCCGGGGTTTTGGTTCACTGCTGTCCGGGGCTGTCGCCGCCGCGGGGCGCGGGGCAGACCAAGAGCCGCAGCCGCCGTGCTCCGTGGGGAGGACGGCTGTGTGTGTGGGTGCTTTGCCGATGGATGGACAGCGGTGGGATGCGGCAGGACCTCGTACTCCCATTTAGACCGTTTAGTACTATCAATTGTAGCCGCCGCCGAAATGTGTTTGGGCACGGAGACGGATGTACACACGCGTGTGCGTGTTTGCCTGTGGTGTGCATGCGCGTTCGTTTCTATCGATAAACGTGTGTATTTATGTAATTTTTTCAGTCCTAAATCGAATCTCCGGGAAAAAAGTCGCCCGGTGTTACCGACGAACGGAAAAGTTTTGTCTATGATATTCTCCCTCTATGTCGACGTTTTGATATTAGTTAATTCAAATTAACGAAACAAAACCCAATTATAATTATAATAGTAATGAAAATAAATAAGCAAACAGGCACCACAAAGGGCGCGCAGCGTCGCTGGAGGGAGGATTTTGTTCCGTGTTACCGGTACATCATGGGTAGGTGCAGCGGCTCCCCGGCGCTCGGCCGCGAAGGAGCGGACGGGCAGACGTGGCTGAGGTAACAGGTCGCTGTCTGCCGGGATGCAGCGTGCTGGAGAGGTCGGGGAAGACTTGTACATTAGCACAGTGTTATGTGAAATGACATCTTCTCTCACGGTGAGTTAAACGCTGCATTACGGCTGGAGATAGCGAGGGAATTTAAGGTAGAACTAATCTCATTTCCTCGTGCACCGCAGCCCTGGAGCTAGAAGAAATTTGTTTGCAGGATAAACAACCCAGCCGTAGGGATGGAGATCTCCCTCCCTCCGTCTTTCCCCGTTGGTCTCTTCGCGCCGCTGTCCCTCTGCCCGCCGTTCCAGAGAGCGCCTGGGCGAAAACGGGCTGCGGCAGTTCCCGAGTAAACGGATTGTCCCTCCCGCGGCACGGGGTGCGTCCATTCCGGCATCGACCCGAATCCCGTTTTTTTACAGCAAACTTTACGGGTGGGGAGCCCGCAGGGGTGTGCGGAGCCTCTGCCCGCGCCACCGCGGGGCCCGCGAACTGCAACCTACGGAGGACGGGGTACCCCGGCGGGAGAAGCCGCGCCGCTTCCGTCATCCGCAGCCCTGGAAAATCGATGCCAGTAGCTGGAATTTAGGGGCAAAACAGAAGTAAACCCACCGCCACCGCGCCACTCCCCCACCCGCTATCGCGTTCCGGACCCCGGCCTAAGGGGGCGGAGCGCCCGGGGCTTTTCGCCTCCTAACGACCCCCGGACCCGCTGCTCCCCAGGGCAGGTACGGGGCGTAACTCCAGCGGAAGAGGATCTGGGAGCCGGGCATCGGCGGGGGCTGTCGCCGGTGGGGAACCAGAGCTGGCGGCAAGGGACGGACCGTCCCGAGGTAGACCTCGGCACCTCGTAACGCCGGCATGGTCCCAGCGGCTTCGCCGCCCCAGCTCCAGGGGATCGGCCGGCCCTCAGGCCAGCTCGTCTGCTGTCCGCCCCGGCTCCCCCGTCCGCTGCTCCGAGGCTCCCGGCACCACGACGGGTTGTGGGGAGTCCTGGGCTGCGGAGCGGGAAGCCGAGCCACGCACCGGCCCCGCTCCCTCATTCACTCCCCGGGCAGGGGCCCAGAGCACCATGCCCCCCGCATTCCGCCTCCCGCTGGCCACCGGCCCGACGGGGTCCCCGGTGCCCGGCCGCAGTCGTGCAGGGAACGCCGCGGCCGGCTGAGCGGGACCCGGGGCGGGTAGGAAAATGCCCTTGGCTCTGGAGCCGATTCCCGAAGCAGTGGCAGGTTTGGGGAGGGGTCCCTCGGCGCGGCGGAGAGGACGACGGCGGCCCCAGCCTTTGTTTCCCCACGGCTGAAGGGTCGATGTGTCGGCTGGGGCAGACCCGGGCTCAGCCGGCCTCCCGGGGCTGGGAACAGCCTACGGCCGGAAAATCAGCCTTTTCCCTAAGGAAAAGCATGCCTCAATGCTCCTTTTTCTTTATCTCCCCCCCCCCCCCCCCCCCCCCCCCCCCCCCCCCCCCCGCCCCCCTTTTTGTCTTTCTATCTTTCTATTTTTCTCTTTCCTTTCTCTCTTCCTCTCTTTTCCCACCCAGTTTCTCTGTTCTTTCCTTGCCTTCCTGTCCTTCCTGTCCTTCCTCCCTTCCTCCCTTCTTTCTCCTCTTCCTTCCTCCCCTCTCTTGCTTCCTTTCCTCTCCTGCTTCCTTCCTCTCTTCTCCTTTTCTCCCTTTCCTTTTCCTCCTCCTTTCCCCCTCCCTCCCCCAATCATCGCCTGTTCCCTGACCACCACCACCGGATCTTCCCAGTTATATTGGATGCACAGTGTGTGATTTTGCACAGCTAAAGCCGCTGATGGGTGACACTTCGCCACAGCGTTAAGGGGTTGTTCCTCTACACCATCGTATTGTCCCCGCTCTGGCCGCGGCATAAGCCCAGCCCCGGTGTGGCCTTACCGCTGCCGGCACCATCCTGGCCCGCACGGGGGTCTGCCCCCGCGCCCGGGGCTGCAAGGGGGGGCGCGCCAGCCCAAGTCCAGTGCCGTCTGCTTCTCGCAGCGACGCAGGCAGAGCAGGCACTTGTCGGCTTGCCACAGACTGAAGCTACCTTTAGCAATCACATATTTCATGTGGATTCGTTATGTGTCCTGACAATTTTAGAAGGTGTTTGCAAAGTTTGGCAGCAGTTTATCAACGGTGAAATGACTAGATTTAAATAAAAATAGCTCTATACAATCTTTTCTTTTCCTCCAATATATATATTTTATTTTTTTTTTTTTTTTTACACCGAGGCGTTTGGCTTGTCATCTTATTCACTACCATTCGAGCCCTGTGCAAATAGAGTTTTTGTATTTTGTTTTTTCCAGAGTTGGCATCTGTACTGCCCCTGTTGCTTGTTTTCAGCTTCTCTACTCCCCTGTAATCAAAGTAGTTTGGATGATTAACAACACGGAGTTTAATTGTATTACCTCACATGGTACATGGGATTATTACATGTTCATGAGTTTTACACAGTTTCATTACTTACTTCCTTCGTGTTAATCCAAGTGGGTCCTGCTTCCCACCAGATATATGATTCACGCTGTTAAAGATGAACAGTAGAAATCTGCTTGAAAAGAAATAGTATACTGGGCTTGCCTGAATGTTCATGTTTCATTTGTGGGATCATAGTATCTACCAGGACTGCTGTAAATTATAAGAGCAGAAATCATGCTCTGACATATATTTTTTTTCCTCTTGATTGAGTCAAGGTACCCGGGGGAAATAAAAAAAAAAAAAAACAACAACAAAACCCGAAAATCCATGTATGTAATTTAGGGTATCTCCTTCTGTGCTTAGATACAATGCACTTGCTGAGCGATCACCCAGCTGTGTTTTCAGCTGGTTTCCTAGCCTGAGGCTTACGAGTTGCCTGTTCTCCATGGGGCAGCACTGGGCTTGCCCCCAGAGTTGCGGTCGGGTGAACGTGGCAGCTGGCATTGGGAGGAGGGTGGTAGATGTCCAGAGAGCTGGGCACCTCTGCGTGTGGCTTTCTGGGGCCATTTTCCTACAAGGGACTCGACCTACGTTCTGGCAGGAGGGTCCTCCGTCTGGAGAGTGGCAGTACGGCAGTGCAGACGGCTGCCTCCGTGCTTCCTGTCCGGGGAAGATCGGCTGGACCGATGCTGGGGAGGCGATGCCGAGTGCCGGGGAGTGCTGGGGCTGGGGAGTCTGGCCTGCAGAGACGTCTGAAACACTCACATAGCTCTTCTTCTCCTGCCTTCTCCCCTTCCCTGTGTATTTCAGGACATGGAGGCGTGAATCAACTGGGGGGTGTTTTTGTGAACGGCCGCCCCCTCCCAGATGTCGTTCGCCAAAGGATCGTGGAGCTTGCCCACCAAGGGGTCCGGCCGTGTGACATCTCCCGGCAGCTCCGCGTCAGCCACGGCTGCGTCAGCAAAATACTTGGCAGGTAAAGGGGGGACTACGAGTCTGCTGTGTCCATCAAAAGTGTCAGTGCCGGTCCCTGAACCGAAGGCTGCAGGCAAATGGAGAATAGTAGAAACCTCAGGAAACAAGCCCAATGAGTCGAGGGGCTTCCTGACCACTCGTGGTTTTACATGCCTGATGTGAAGGGAAAGTGATACTCTTCGTATGTGTGGTTTGCTCCTTTCACTGTTTCTCATAGGTAATTCTCCTGCTATGTGACGTGTATTCGCTGTATATACAGCATGTATCCCGTGCCTGTCTGTTCTGAATGAGTAGAGACATGTGGGAGTCATCCTCAAAAAATGTGAAAAAGAAACAGAAGTTGTGGAAATCACTTGTTTTACTTTCTGAAGACGACTCTCTTTAACAGTAATACTATGTATTACTTCAACATTGCAGGGCATTCATTCACACAGGCTAGCAATCTGTCCCACTGCTTAGTTCAACATCTTTTTCTACTTTTGTGCTGGACTATGCTTTTAATCAGAGCACAGGACATAAAGTTATAAAGTAACTATTAACCATCTTATTTTTTGCTATTTTGGGAGTAGCTCTCTGATCAGGCTGGAGTTGTTCGAACCACCGAGGCAACAAGAAATTAAAACTCTGATTTTGTATGATTTCCTGATTTTGTTTTAAAATTTGACATAGATACAGGTCAAAAATACCGTTACTGCTTCTTCATATCTCATGAATAAATCTGAACGTAGCCTGTATAAACTATAGAGTTAAAATGGTTTTGGGCATCAGGTATTCTGAGGTACTTGGGCATCCTATATTAAAGAAAACATTTTATTTTGTTGTTAGAACATATTTTTTTTTTGGATAATCTGGAAAGTTAATTCGTGAACTATTTACTGAATTTTCACAGTTCATTGTTTAGAATTTTACTGTTTTATTTTTACCTTTTGCTTCTCCAATTTTTAGAGAACTTGCTTTTCAGGATATAGCATAGCTGCAAAGACTGTTAAAGCAAAATGCAGGGGATCTGCTTGGATTAGCAGCATTTACGGTCTCTCAATGGCCATTTAAGTGTTTGGGATCAGACTGACTGGCGTAGTCACAGGCCCTTGGTTTTGTAGCTCTTGGCACTCTTTTCCCCACAGCCCCTTCTCATCTCTACTCACACGGAGCCTTCACAGCCCTGTGTGGTGCTTTTTGAGAGAGCTGTGCTAGCCCGTGTGCAGTTACACTCAGCATCTCTGCTTTTTCCCTCCCACTTCCGTTGCAAGGAGATACATTCCCCTGCAAGCTATGCGTGTGCTTGCCAGTGTAGTTTTAAGGGCATTGATGCCTTTGCTATTCTAGAGAAAACAACTTTCCATGGGCTTTATGTGAGACTTACTTGCCCATCATGGGCTGTTTAACTCAGTTACTGGCTTGCATCCGCTGCCTGCACACTGCTAGCATGGTTCGGCTGCTGGTGCTCTCTGCTGCAGCAGAATCACCAGAAGTTCCCACCAGGATCAGTGCACAACTAAGAAGCAGACAATTTATTTACTTCCCAAGCAAATGTCCAATGATTTCACTTTTGATAGTTCGAATAGATCTACCACTAGATGTATTTTTACTATATAGCTAAGAGTGAGGCTCCAGAGCTTTGTCATTGAAGGTGTCAACAACAAATGGGAATTTCATAGCTCATTATTTTCACAACTAATAATTACAGTGGATAAAATGTCACTGTAATTGCAGGTGTGTGTGTGTGTGTAAAAGATGGGTATCCTTTTGATAAATCCCCACTTTTGGAATTCTATAGTCAGAATTTTTAGTCCTTGACAGAGCCTTGAAAACCCCCCAGAGGCAGGGAACCAGTAGTTGCAGTGCAAGTGAAACTCCCACCCTCAGAGAAGGAGGGTACTTTCCCCTTTTCACTTTTTCACTTTTCCTCTGCACTGGAAGCTTGCTGGGAGCAAAGGGCCTGAACCTGATGTGCGCAATATGAAGCCAATTACAGCCATCCTTGCCTTTAAGATGGAGATGGGAGTCAGGGATGTCCCTGCTGTGCATCCTGCAGGCCTTTTAGTGTGCCCAGGTGCATTGTTCAGGTGGAGGGAGGTGTCAATGGCACCACTGGATGAGAGTTGTCCCCTGTTGCAGTGAGCTCTCCTGACTGCCTGGGGAGAAGGACTTGGGCCTGGTCCGGCAGCCTCCCAAGCAAGGCAGGTCTTTCTGCTGATGTGTGAGTGCCTTTGCAGGGCTGAGGTGGTGAGGGCTGGCAGGCAGGCAGTGGTTTCAGGATTTGGAAATGGAAGCCCTGCTGCCCAGAGGGCACCAGAGCTGTGTCCCTTGGTGAGCTCGCAGCTGCCACAGTACTGTGGCGGCAAGGGCCTTTGCGGTAGTGGCGTTACCTACCAGGGTGAGTCAGCCATGGAAAATGTCGTTTCGCCAGCTCAGCCGTGGCTTCCCAAACTGCTGGCTGATGCCTACTCTGCTGGCCTGCCCTGCATTGTGGGGTAGCTACCAGAGGTACCATGCCATGGGGTGGTGGGGCATTGTTGGAGAAAAACACAAAAGAACATTTATGTAACATCCATCGTTTTTGACCAGAAATAAGAAAATGGCAAGATTTTGTTTGGAAGCATTCACGGTATTTTCTGGCTTCCTTTAACACTACCCTGAAAAGAGAAACTCCAGCAGGAAAGATTTTGAAGCCAGGGGTGTGAGGTTTTAATAGGTTTACTTCTAGTATATTTATGTTTCATATTTTTTTTTCAGTAGATCCATGCTTGCCATCATTTTGACATGTCCTCAGGAATCAAAGGGGGAGCTGAATTTTACTCCTCTGCCCTAAAGCTCACTACCAGGCTGTGTTTAGAGGCACCAGGAGGGTTATAATCCATCTCTGACACTTGACACTTTCCCTTGCTGTTACTGGTTAAATATATTAAAACTGGTGTTAAAACTGGTTAAATGGCTCATGGATACAGGTAGATCTGAGTTCACATCTGCATCCAGAATATTTGAAAACATATGCAAACAATGCAGTGTAGGTCTCTTTCAAGGAATTTTAGGCCCTGCACACAGAGCCCTCCCTGAAAGATTGAAAACAGGTAGCCTGGCAGGTAGCCTGGCAATTTGATGAGCATGGTTGTGTGTTACAGTGAGAGAGACACTGGCTGTGCAGCCTGTTAGTGCTCTGCTCATGCTGGAAAGATCGGGGGATTTTAGTTTTTTTTCATATAATGGGCATGTCAAGTAGCTGCAGAGAAAATACATTAATCAGCATCCTTAGATTCTTACTTCAGGGGTCTTTTCTGCACTCCCTACTAGGAACACAGGCATAGAGCACTGAGTGGACACATTTAAGCTGCTGAGAGTGTGTGGCTTGAGCCTGGTTGAAAGTCTCATGGATCCATGTCCTGCCCTGTGCAGAAGGGATGTGCCAGATCAGTGGGGCAGTTGCTGCAGGCAGGCACAGGGTTTATTTATTTCTTGTTTGCTCATAAGAAAATTCACAAGATGCAAAGAAGATGCATGTCTGGGAGATCGCCTTGTACACTGTGCTCCCTGGCAGCACAGCATAGAGGAGCACGATCTCGCTCTTGGTCTCTATTCCAGCCTTCAGTGGGTAAGATATGCTGCTCTTAGCAGCATGTTCAAGGCCTCGTTTATTAAAAGGGAAGACTTGTGGGGCTGGAAACCTCAGCTGCAATTTATTGTTTTTTTCAATGCTTCCAAAAGCACTGTGTGATTTACATGTGAAGAAATAAGGCAGATTTCTGTCATTGTGGGGATCCAGTCTTCTGTCTTCTCCAGCATGGCACCATAGAGCTGCTTGTGTGGGTAAAGATGCTACACCTGAGGAAAGGCCGCAGAACTGGTCACAGAAACCAGCCCACATCAGAGTGGGGACAGCTATCTTTTCCTTGAAGTCTGCAACTGAATCTACTGGAAACATGCTGTTAAAAAGAACGCATTTTAAATATGTCAACTATTAAAACTATAACATGCATGTTAAAACCAGAAAATGGGGAAGAGATATACCGGCATATTTATCCTGGAGGTGCATATAAAATACAATACCTGGCCTTCATTTAATTATGAAATGATAGTAAGCTGTAGATATTAATGACAGAGAATTTTTGTATAAACTGTAATTTGCTACAAAAGAGTTCACCACAGAAAGTGGTCTTGGGTGAAATTTGTTTCTATTATTGCGAGTACCACTGATTAATAACATACATTTCCAGTGAAGTTTGGATTCCGGCATACCCTTTAATCTTGTATTGTTTCTTTTGTCTTGCTATTACAGAAAAATATATATTGTAACCCGTGGCCCCAGTTCCAATTAATATAAGTTAATCTATTAGGTGATAAAGCACTACATAGGCAGAAAATATGTATGTGAAAGTGAAGATGTATCTCAGGATTTACTGGGGTTTGGTTACCTTGAAATTATGTTCTGTGTAAATCTCAAGGCATGTTCTTTGCCTGTCTGTGATAACTAAAGCTTTGTTTTGGATGTTGTCCCAGGTATTATGAAACCGGGAGTATTAAGCCTGGAGTGATTGGAGGATCAAAACCAAAGGTCGCCACACCCAAAGTCGTTGAAAAAATTGCAGAGTACAAGCGCCAAAATCCCACCATGTTTGCCTGGGAGATCAGGGATAGACTCCTCGCCGAGCGAGTGTGTGACAATGACACCGTGCCCAGTGTCAGTTCAATTAACAGGTAAAGATCTGTCTGGTCCTGGGGAGGGGTGCTCCTCAAAGCGCCACTGAATACCCATTTAGTTAGCAGGACTGGGTGTTTGGGCTGTTTGCAAGACAGCAAACATTAGCTGCATTAGCCTTCCTGTGTTCCCCCTATGTGTTTGGTGCTGGGGAGCAGCTGTGGGCTCACCTCGGCAGCCAAAACATCACAGATTACAAGCATTTTCTAGGAGTGGGCAGGTTCTGCTGCAGGCCTTTGCTTCTTTCCTGTCCTTTCTCCAGTCTGGGAGTTGCAGTCCTCACTGGTAATGATCCTGTGTGTATGCTCCAAATGAGTTCTGCTTGATAGCATGGAGGTACATCAGGATGTGCTTTTCCGGGGGGAAGCTGAGACGACCATTGAGAGAGGTGGCAGTAACCTGGAAAAAGGGGGTGCCCAGTGCCTGGAAGAGGGTACCAATGGTATGGGCCTGAGGTACAAATTCTGTTCTTCTGATGTCTGCTTAGTGTTGTTGAAGTTGGCCAAGAACCATGCTGGCTGCTGCCTGCTATTGTCAGTGTTGTATTGCTGAGGTAATTTGGTCAGTAGCTTTCAAGTGACTTGGCTGTCTGTTTATTACATGGATGTGCGTAAGTGGCCTTGAGTTGGTTTTCTAAAAATGCAGGAGAATCTCATTTGGAGACTCAGTCCTGCCTTTGGCAGCTTTTTTCCATGACCTTGCTTGGAAGGACTGGGCTCACAGAGGGGTTTGGAGCTGCACTAACCTCCTGCCATCTCAGTTACACCTTCTGTACTCATCCACTTCCTTCTGAGTCCAATGATGTCTAAAGCTGGTGCTGAAAAAACACAGTGAAATACTTTGTGATGTCTCCACCCCTGACAGACAGATAATAAGGGATTAATACTTGGAAGCAGGAGTGCTTGGGCAGTCTCATACAGACTCACACCCCTGACAAGCAGTGTCCTTCCATTTTTGCTCAGAGGTGTGCCCTGTGCTGGGCTCCGTCCTCTCCATGCTGGTGAGATGGTTTTCACTTGCGTGATTGCATGCAAATTCTTTGAATGCAGATAGCTATAAAGTCCCATTTGTGTCCATGTACGTGAAATAAATTGATGCAATATTCTTTTATTGGCTATCCCAACCTGATTTGCATTCATGGAGTTGCCGCTTGAATAGCTGGAGTGGCTTCCCCAGTGTTAGCAGAGAGCAGTGTCTCTGCTTTGCTGAACTGAACGTGGAGTCATCCATTCCCATGTTCAAGAGCACAAATGGGTCAGTTAACAGTTAACAGGGCCTGGGAGCCCCTGACTTCCTGAGGCTCCAGAGAAGCATTCTGTAATCCTACAGACATGGTATTTTTGGTTTTAGAAAGGATTTGAGAAAATAAAGTAGATACCAGGGAAACTGAAGGAAAATACCACTCTGCCTGACCTCAAATAACTGAGGGCAAGCTCTGCTTCCATTAAAGCCGGTGCACATCCTGCCATATGAGAAGCATTGCTGCTGTGAGCAGTCCTGTGTTTGTGTATTACAGCTTTCATCATCTTCCGAAAAACTACCAAAAAAAGGCAGTCATAGCACTAGGAAAAAGGGAGATAAAGTGGCTTCCTGTCATGTTTCGAGCCAATTTCCATATTCTACCTCTTGCTGTGTTCTTGTATGTTTCCACATGGACAGTGTCTACACTCCCACTGCCATTGCATTGGAAACTCATTTTGTGATTTGGCACAAAGTTTTTTGGCTGGAAATCTCATTCTTTCTCATATGCTTGTGATGGTGCTTAAGATCTTTTCCTTTTTTGAGGGTGTGCAATCCCTTTTTTAGAAATGCACGCAATCTCTTTGAATCAGTCTGTTTAGCTGGAGATTTGTTTTTGCCAGCCTAGGAGCTCATCCTGAAAACCCAAACCAAACTATCATGATAAGAAACCTTGAATTCACATCAAAATACTTGGCTTTAATGTTAAGTTCTCCCAGTTCCATGATGTAGTGTGTGGATTTTATCCTCATATTTAAAATCAGGGTATACTTCCAAGGCTTCGCCAATAGGGGTGTTACAAACCAAGGATGCAGACCCTTAGGATGCCCCTATAAGGTCATGATGCCCCTATTCACCACTGATGTGCAAATCAGGAGCTGCACTGTTGCTGCAGACCTGAGCCCATTTGAAATGGCACGGTGAGGTTCCTGTCCTACTGCAGGGAGGGTGAAGCCAAGCAATTGGCATTCCTGCACAGGAAGATGCGGACACCCCACACTGCTCCCCTAGTCCCTGCCTCTCATTGGAGAGGGGGGATCCCCTGGGGCCATGCTATTCCCTTCAGAGGAATATCTGCTGTTGGAGAATGTCGGGGCTACTGGGACAGACTGTGCTCAGCACATCCCTGCTGCGGGCATGGCTTTTTGCAGATGAGCTTGAGCTGCTGCTTTATATCGAGTGAATAATAACTATTACTATTAATTAATAACATTTATTAATAATAGGTCACTCTTCCACAACAGGGGCAAGTCTGTGTGATTAAGGCTTAATTAATCATTGCAATTAGTTTTGCTCAAATAAGCTGAGAAATGCCCAGCTGCTTCAAAGTGCTCCAGTCCTCCGTCCATCCAGAGATGAAGATGTTTATGTGTCAGAAGTCCTTGCGCATCTTTCCCTTGCCACAGCGGCAGGGAGGCCTTGTGCAGGTGCTCATGCAGGGTCCCAGGTCCTTGGCTGTGCTCCTCCACTGAAACTCGCCCTGACCCCTGCACCGGGCTGGCTGCTCCAGTCCTTGGCTGGGGATTTTGCTGCTGAGGACCCATCCATCAAAGAGGTGTAACACCCAGCAGCTTTGCTTTGCAGCTGGCTGCCAAAAAGGTGGCTTACTAAGCTCCTGTCAGCCTCCATCAGACCCTGCAGACAGATTGTAGGGGAAGAAGATGGCAGTGTGTCCTGGAATGGGGATGGGCATCACCAGTGGTGGTTCCCATACAAGCTCATGGGGTGGCCTTCCAACAGGCAACTGCTGTTTGTTACCATGAATGCACTGCCAGCTGTCTCTCACCTCCCCTCTCCTCCCCACTTCCACCCTAGAGGTGCCAAAATGGCGATGGGTATCCTTTTCCTAGGCAGCAAGGACTAGGTCCTCAAGGCACTGAAGCTGCAGCACCCTGATGAGGGTGTTTGAGTCAGTCACCTGAAGGTTCCTAATGACTGGGGCTGGGGGCAAAAACGTGGTCCTGAACTCACCCACCAAACTTTGATCTTTCAGTGAGTGCCAAGGGGATAATACACAGAAAGTCGTTTTTGTATTGTATTGTGTGTGTCCTGAACCGAAAAAAGCAGTTCTTGGTGCCCCCTGCCATTGTGTGCTTAATATTAAGTAGTCTTTTCTATTCAACTACATGCAGGATCATTCGGACGAAGGTGCAGCAGCCACCCAACCAGCAGGTCCCAGCTTCCAGTCACAGCATAGGTAAGGAAAACTTTAAAAAATATATAATTAAAAATTAGCATAATGGATAACAAATATTCTAAAGAACTTTTAATCATTCTTATGGACAGATAATTTTGCATAAAACACTTCAGCACATGTGCTAATGCACCTTCTTTGTCATTCTCCAAGGGCTGAACATAGTAAATGAATTTTATAAATACTACTAAAAGGTTTTGAATTTTACTGATTATTATGATAAATAGCTTTCACCATGAGACAGAAAATTGAAATCTAAACCAAAAAAAAGCCACTAATGGGGGTCTATAGAATGTCAGATAATTAAAGTAATAAATCAAGAAAGGGACACTTATTCATAACATTTTCTGCATCATTAGTCAGTAAGTAGTTTTGAATGTGTTTTTTTCATCTATCAACCATCCCTTCCACAATTCTTTGTGCACTTGCAGCCTTGAGTGAAGAGGTGGGAAAACTTTCTGAAACTTTAATTCAGCTGCAGACCGGTGATGTTGTGCCCCGAGGCAGGCAGAGCGGATCCCGGGGAGGGTGGCCTGGCTCCTGGGGCATCCTCAGCCCTTCCTGAGGCTGACAGTAGCCTCTTTGTCATGCCACAACAGGGATGGAGCAGCTCAGTCAGGGCTCAGGGCTCCTTTCTTGATGTCCTTTTTCCCTGAAAGCCACTGGGGCATGGGTAAGTCCTTGCTCTGTAAGCAGAAGGGAGTGGGATGGTGGCCCTGGTTCCTCTCTGTCTTTATGGTGTCACCTCTGAAATGGGAAAATGCTTGCTCTCCCTGTCTTGGCAAGAGTGGGCTGGCACTGTGACACTTGAGTGTGGGTGCAGAACTATGTGATCTCTTTGATCTTGTCAAAAATGTCACACTGCAGAACTGTGTCCTGAGCCTTTCTCTCCAGGAAATGCCAAGACAATCTCAAGAGGAGGAAAAGCATCCCTCATTTTGCTATTGTGGCTTATGGGCTGTGTCCCCCTGAGGAAAACAAGAGCAGAGAAGGCAAATCTTGTTTCTCAGGGCTTGGGCTTGATAGAGGCAGCAGATTTTAACACAGGTTTGCTCTGTGTGGGCTGTGGCTCTTCACTGTGGTCCTGCAGTGGATCCCCTGTGCTTGGGGGCTGCATGGTGATTTCTGGGATTGTGTGCCAGCACAGGCTCAGCCTATGAGCTGATGGAGGTTACAGCGGTGCTCCCTCCTCTGCTTGCTTCTGTACAGCTTTGACTCCCACAGCATCACATGAACACAGTGTCTGCATCCCTGGCGGGCATCTCCAGGCTTTTGTTGGCTGTGATGAATGAACCCCTCCCTGAGCTGAATGTAGCCAACACCCTTTCCTGAGGGCTGTGCCAAAGCAAACTTGATTTAATTGACACTTTGGAGAGCTTTAGGACCTTTCAGCCACGTGGCACACAGCTGGCTATCCTTGGGTCCCTGGGCAGTACCAGCCACTCTGGGCTCTTCACTGAGTGGGGGCTGGTGGCTTGTGCCAGCGGGATGTTGGCAGCAAACCCAGCATGGTGAGTGCAGGCTGCTGTGCTCCCATGAGGTTCCTGAGCCAGGAGGCTGGCAGCCTGCCCTGAGACCTCACTGGGGAGCCTGTCTGGGGAGGGTCCTCCCTCTGCATGGCTGTGTTCCCAGCAGCTCATCCACCTGACCGGTGACATGGCCTGTTGGGGCCTAATGGCATCTGCTGGCCCGAGAAATGTGCCTTCCCACTGTGCCTCGCTTAGGATGGGGCATCTGAATGCTTAAGGAAAGCATCCTCCATCCAGCAGCATATGGCCTTGTCCCCTCATGGTGGGGCAAGGGGTAACCATGTCACTGCTCCCACCCTCACACAGGGCTCTGGTGGCAGTCTGATGGGCAGGGGTCCTTCCCAAGCCAGGAGGGGCCCCAGGGGCCAGCAGATCCCCAGCCCTGTGGCCAGCTGGCCTTCGTCATGCTGCAGGAGCTGGTGGCTTCTGAGTAGGCTGGCACTCATGTTGTCTTGTTGCTAACCTCCTGGCTTTGCCTTGCAGCTTCCACGGGGTCTGTGACTCAGGTATCCTCTGTCAGCACTGACACTGCCGGCTCATCTTACTCCATCAGCGGGATCCTGGGAATCGCCTCCCCTGGCACTGAGAGCAACAAGCGCAAACGGGATGAAGGTAGTGGGAACTTTTTCCTGGGTGGGGGGTGTGCACTGATGCATGACCTGGAGGGATGGTACAGGGATGGGGTGGATGCTGTGTGCATGTGGCATGATGTAGCTTCAGACGTCTCCCATTGCTGTCTGCTGTGGTGGGGTTTGGTCCTGTTTCATCAGGCCTTTGCCAAGGCCCCAGCCAAGCTGGAGAGCTTTGGTGTGACCTGGTGGCCAGAGGCAAGATTCCTTTGAAGAGTGGGGGTTGTCTGGGTGTTCCAGATAGCACTGGCGGTGTGTCAAAAGTTTAACCAGAACCTCCTCCTGACCGAGTAACATTCCCCTCCTGCCACTGAAAAGAGAAAAAGTGGCCATCATGTTAATTATCTGGCCACCTGAAATACAAGGTGTCAGAGGGGCTTCCCCATCCACAGAGACATATAGAGTTAATGGCAGAGCTGTCTGCCATACTGTATCTCTGCGGGTCCCCCCAGCACTGAGAGGCTTTTATTGGTCTGGGAGGTGGAAACAAGCATGGCCTGGTTGTGGCTGGATATTGCCAGTGCTCCTCAGACCCGTTGTAGGGTATGTGGTCCTGTTTCATTCTATGTCCTTGGCATTTTTGTAATGAAAACACTGCTATGAAGAGAAGGACGTGAGGAATAGAGTGGAATGGAAAAGATGAGAAATTCTGTGTTAGTGTCTTATAAAAGCACCTTTAGTCTAGAGCATCCTTTTTGTTTAGTAAGAGCTTACAGAGAGGGGTTGGAGCCAAGACTGTGGACATGTGGTGGTGGAGGGGACACGAGAGCTTCAGTGGGGATGCTGCAGCTGAGGCTGTGGAGAGCACTGAAAAGATGTGTGGCTGCCCACCCTACAGCAGTGCTGGTGGGCTGGGGATCCCTTTTGCTCTTGAAGGGGATGAAGCCGCCTCCTGCCTGCCAGGTCAGGCTCCTGCCCTGTGCTGTGGAGCACACATGGTCCCCGGCTCTTGTGCTGCTGGTGTGGGTCCAGTGGGGCCCTACATCCCTGTACCCTCTGTACGGGGGAAGCCATAGTAACATTAACCAAAGCTGGGGAGAAACCCAGCTGAAATTGGATGAGCAGCCTGGTGCCTGAGCTGTGCAAACAGGGTTAGGTTGGAAATGCCTAGTCAGGTTGCAGAGCAGTACTTGGTTTACCGAAGCAGGAGAAAACTGTGAGAAGTTTGTCAGGCCAATATAGCCATGCAGGGAATGGTTCGATGGTGGGAGTGCAAAACTCCTTGTGCGTAGGTACTTGCTGAATATGCCATTGTTAGTTAACTATGCCATCAAACATCTGATGCTTTTTTCCAAGTCAAGGCCACAGGTGCATAGATGCATAAAAGCAGGTAAGGTAGAAATTCTGTGTTTTACCAGCCAGGTCAGGAGACACGCCATCTGTTAGTGAAGGCACTCTGCTCTGTTTTAGTCCTGTCCTGATGGCCCAGTTCTTGGGTGCCTTGGTCACAGAAGCCTTTGGTTTAATTGTAGAGAAAATAATTAAATGTTTCCTTGACAAGATCAGAAGCAGAGCTGAGAAATTCCACAGCTTTTGCCAGTCCAGGTTTAGAAGAGAGCACAAGATTTCTAAAAAAAACCCCATCGTTATGGCAGGATGAGTCATGGTTTTCCAGCTCCTAAGCTGGACAGTAATGCTGTCCTCAGAAGGCCATTTAAACTGCTTTTGTAATAGGCTCAGGGCTGCAGATTTGGAGAGGTATAAACAGGTACTTCAACATCTCTGTCTGTTTGAGGGGCTCCCTGGGAGTGTCTGTAACCTGTCTCTGTCCTGCACAGCACAAGGCTCCTCTGCATGGGTAGGTGTGAGGTGCCCTTGGAGGTGTCCCAAGGCTTCATGCTGCAGGTGACAGGGATGTGGGTCATATATGTTAGCCTCTAATGTGGAGAAGCACATCATCTAATTATGGCCTGTATCATGATGCAGTTGCACAAGGGGGCAGAGTTAACTTTACCATTTTCCCACTTCAGAGAGCCAAGCGAGCTTCTACTTCTGCAGCAAGCCCCTTGCACCATGTCTTTGCCATGTTGTGCTGTTTCTCACTAGCTGTTGGAAGGTGTGTGCTTGTTGCTGTACCTCCCCACTTATGTCTCGTGGAGCCACAGGCTGTGCACCTCATACCTAGTGGTTCTGGCTCCCCTTGGCCATGGAGTGAAGTGGGGTGGACTTGCCCCTCTGGCTTCCAGCTGCATTGAGCGCTCCACCTGATTCATTACTTGGTCTTGTTCCACTCACTCTTGACACTTTTTCAGCAGATGTCACCAGTCTTTAACCCAGTGGGGAGCTTCCTGGGTAGCAACAGGGGCAAACCAAATCAGACAGTCTTTATTGGTTTATATAGCTAAAGGTGTCATTTTTTTTTCCTGCTGCAATACGGCCTTGAAGCAGATATGCCTTCGTGGGGGATCTGTTACTTTCACTTGTGGTTAAAAGACATGCTACTGACACAAGAAACAGGCTATTCTGTAAGGAGACAGAGAGATACAGTCAGTGCCAAAGCCTCAAGTAGCAGTGGTCGCTGGGCAGCAGGCTCACTGTTTGGCTTGCAGACCACCTTCTTCGAGTTTTGTAGCTGCACATTTGCCTGTCCCTGCAGCTCAGGACAAAGTGTAGAGGTGCAGGGGGGTGGCAGAGATGTGCAGAATGATCTTGCTGAAGCTGCCTGCTAGTGAAGTGGATGTGTTTTAGGGAAGTCAAAGGTGGGCAGTGAGACCCTGAGTCAGGGTGGGCTGAGTGCTCTGTCCTGTGCTTGCAGCTAGTGGCAGTGCAGGCATGGGTTTCACTGTCCTGCTGACAGCAGCCGGCTGGTGGTGGTCCCATAATGGACACTTGACAGGGTCTGCATTTTGGGAAGTGCTGACATCCCCTGCCTGGGTGTCAGAGCTGTCAGAAATGGGATTAAATAATCCTTGAGGAGTAGTAAGAGAAAGGGAAAAGACAGCTGTGTCCCCAGGCAGGTGTGCACACTAGAGATGGGATGGCGAAGGTCGCTGGACCGTGAGTGCTCTTGAAGAGGAGCTGAGGATCTTGAGTCAGGACAGGAAGGAAGGGCCAAAGCACAGCCAGGTAGAGAGCCCACCCTACCTTCTCCCTTCGCTCCTTTTGTCCAGCCCTGGTTTCCAGCCTGAGTTCTGCAGAGCTCTGCAGGTATGGGAGAGCCAGCAGAACGGCTTAAGCCAAGCAGGGTGATGCTTCTGGCATGTTTGAGCTGTCCTGGCTGAGAGGGATTGTGAAGCAGGCACACAGCCAGTGGCATGGGATGTGGCTCTTGCCTGAGATCTCAGGAGCTGGTGCTGTTCCTTCAAGAGTGGCATCCCTCCATCAAAGCAAGGCAAAGTCCAGGGCTCTTGCTTTCACAAAAGCCCTGCACTGTGTATGAGGTACTCCATGCCTGCTGCTCATTTCTAAGCATGTTCACTTCCTGTGTGTTCTCCTACCCAATGTGAGGGAAGCACATGGGGTGATGCTGGCTGTTATAGGGACAAGCTGCACCTTGTGCAGAGATGTCTGCTTGCTAGCCAGTGGCAAGCTTGAGCTGCTTGGTCTGAGCACGTCCTGCCTGTACACGAGTTTTCCCTCTGGCATGGGCAGCTGCTGCTGTGCTCTGCTTCAGCCAGACTCACTGTCAAGGCTGGTCTATGGGCTGGGGTGGGAGGCTTGGTTCTGTACCCACACAGAGATGCAACTGTCTCCCAGTGGATTTACGAACCAGGGTTGGAAGAATTATGTGAATCTCTGTTCTTGTGGCTTTTCCTTGCTTTATGTCGTCATGGTTTAAGCCCAGCCAGTAACTCAGCACCACGCAGCCTTGGTCTCTTGCTTCTTTTTCCCCCTTCCCAGGCAGGATGTGCGGGAGAATTGGAAGAATGTAAACCCAATGGGTTGAGATGAGAACAGTTTAACTAAAGTACAACATACTACTAATGATGATAAGGGAAATAATAAGGGGAGAGAATATAAAACTAAAAAAGGGAAAGAAAAACACTAACCAGCAGTGATGCCCAATACAATTGCTCAAGACCCACTGACCAATACCCAGCCCAACCTGAGCAACTGGTCCCTTCTGGGGAACTCAGTTTATATACTGAGAATAATGTGCTGTGGTATGGAATATCCCTTTGGCTAGTTTAGGTCAGGTGTCCTGTCTCTGCTGTCTCCTAGCTTCTTGTGCCCCTCCTCACTGGCAGAGCAGGAGACTGGAAAGTCCTTGATCAGGATAAGCGCTACTTAGCAACAACCAAAATATCGGTGTGTTATCAGCATTGTTTTCACACTAAAGCCAAAATGTACTGTACCAGCTACTAGGAAGAAAATTAACTCTATCCCAGCCAAAACCAGAACATATGCAAAATGCAAACCATTTTGTTACATAGGAAGGATGACTGTTAGACCAAATGCTGCATATTTTGTTGGGCAGCTGCATGTCTAGTTGTGAGTCTTCTACCTGATTCTGCAGCCTGGCACATTTACACGCTTCTAGCATCTTAACCCAGTCTATGACCCACAGCCTGACTGATGCAGAAGTATGCTTCTGACTTCTTGTCACTTCTGACACAAAAATGTGCAGAAATCTCTGATACTGCAGGCAATAATGGCAGTGCATGAACACAAGCATGTGAAACATTTGCATACAGTAGTTGCTCCACAAGTCCAGCATGCCTGTTGTGTCAGTGACACTACTTCTGTGCTGTTGAAGTTCTGTGTGTGGAGGCACATACTTGGGCTGGGCTGTCCTGCTATGGTTTGCACTATCCTGGCATGGTTTTGGTGTGTGCAAGCCAGTGTCCCCTCAGCCAGGACCTGTTAATGCAAGGGTCCACACAGGGTGGGCATTGCTCTGCCATACAGCTTGGGTGCAGCAGTGGTGACACAGAGGATTGGAGTTTCCTGTCAGCATCACAGGCTGTGCTAGACCAGTCAGCCTGTTTTCTTCCTTCTAGTAGATGCAGGTGGTTAAAGCAAAAGGGTACATGCAGCAATGAG